CCTGCAGTGCCCTCGAGATGGTCTCTGCGCGGGCAAGGCCCTCGGTGTGTGGGTGCTTGAGCTTGACGATGATGCGGTGGATGCCAGCTGCACTAGCTGAACGCGGTGGCGGACTGCTGAGCGCACGGACACTCGGCTGGTCGTTGGCGGCACCATCACTCACCGATAGAGAGCGATGATCAAGTCGTCGAGGAAGGATCAAGGTGATGATGCCAAGAGAGAGGGCGAGGCACAGCAGAGTCCACACGATTCCCGCAAGCTGAGCCATTGCCGACGATAGATAGGAGCGATGATCAAGTCGTCGAGGAAGGATCAAGGTGATGATGCCAAGAGAGAGGGCGAGGCAAGAGTAGATCAGGTGGAAGGTTCCAAGGTGGGAAGTGAAGATCTGGGCGTACGATATCTGCCTGACGATAGATGGAGGGATGGAGGGATAGATGGATGGATGGATAGATGGAGGACGGAGCTCCCCTCCCCTCTTTCCGTGAAACCGCCTTGGTCTCCGCATGCGTGAAACCGAACCTCCAAACCGCAGCATCCATCCCTCCCTCCCTCCCTCCCATCTATCCCTCCATCTATCTATCCCTCCGTCTATCGGTCGGGCAGATATCGTCCCAGATCTTCACTTCCCACCTTGGAACCTTCCACCTCTTGTGCACCTTGGCCTCTCAGCGACACCTGCTGCCTCGCCGACTCGTTTCATCTATCAGCTCCCGCCTCTCTCGCCGCTCTCAGTGTTCGCTTCTCTCGCTCCGCTCACCATGAAGCTGCTTCTGTGCCTCGTTGGCGCCCTCCTGCTGGCCGGTGCTGTCGTGGCCACCAACTCCACCACCAACGCCACGGTAGGCAGGCGACTCCATGCGCATTCCTCCAGTTGTCACTTCTCGTGTTGTCTCTGTCTGTCTGTCTGTCTGTATGCATCTCTCGCCCAGGACGAAGGAGATGAGATGGTGGGCTCCTCACCCCTGCTGCCATGGTGCGATGCCTCACACGACGAACACGCGAATCAATGGCCATCCTTGGATCATTGTGTTCTTTCTCCGTGTCGTGCTGCTGCTCTGTCTGTCTGTCTGTTTGCGTTTGGGTGTAGAGGCGCATCTACGTTCGCAATACATGCCATGAGACGCTCCACATCGCAATTCGCATGAGAGCTCCGGGCGGCTTCTGGATCAGCCAATGTTGGTGGAAATTCCGTCCACATGAGGGGAACTTCTTGGGCGATGAGAACGGCAGACGCCTCTACACCGATAATGGTCTGATCTACTACTACGCTGAGAGCGCCACCAAGCTATGGTCGGGCAAATACACGAGAACGTGTAATGGGCGAATTCTGGGGATGAGGGAGCACACCTACGTCGACTCGGACGGCGATGTGTACGTGCAGCTCTGGTGCAACAACAGACGCCTTCTCGGGGAGGCTTTCAGCACACAGACCGCAACCCCTGAAGACATGGAGTTCAAGCACACTCATGCTGACACCCAAGCTTTGGAGCATTGATTGCTTGATCGATCCCGCGTGTGAGAAACACGTCACAGCGCTGCCCGTGTGGTGCTGGTGCGGTGCATCACATCATATCGTCAGCAGCGGTGGTGTGAGAGTTTTTCACCGGTCAGTTTTTGAATGTCTGTACGCGTCGTCGTGTGTTGCACGCATGCTAGGCTGGGCAGGGCTGTGGTTCAGCTCTCTGGGGCGCTCCTTTCGGAGTGGTCCGTCACATCTGTCTGTCTGTCTGTCTGCGTATTCATGAGTGTGTGTCGCCTTCGTGTTGTGTCAGCTGTGCTGTTCTTTGTTGAAGTCTCTGTGTGCGTGGTGCTTGGCGCCGTCGGTGCCTGTCAGGAAGAAATCGTCCACCGAGCCCTGACCTGTCCTGACCTGTCCTGACCTGAGTGCTTCGTTGTCTTTATTTGTGTGTGCTGTGCTGTGCTGTGATCTGATCTGCTGATTCTTTGTTAACAGCAAGTTACTGTACTCACTGCATCTGATGTGTGTGTGTGCGTGTGTGCGGTCCATGTGTGCATATCCATTCCATGACGGGGGGGATGGGGGGGAGGGGATGGGAGGGACGAGAGACAGACCCACGAGAGACACATGGCGTGCCGAGACAATCACGTCAAGTGAAAATGACATCATGATGGTATGACTGACACATGTGCCCGATTGTATGCATGAGAGCGAAATGTGCACAGCACGCGGCTCGCGACACCCGTCGCCACAGCACACAAACATTGTCTGTCGCACAACTCAAATGCCATTCATTCATCGTAAGTCAGCTGACGTAATCGCGTCGAATGCGAACACACACTCACACACACGAGTGTAATCCGGCCTTACACGCACCGATTCATTCACGCGAAGGGGCATACATATTCTGTCTCTCCGGCTGTGCATTCCACAATTAAATGACACGGAAGAGCACTGAGGAACGACCAGACGCATCCGCTGCACACCAGCCAAGGGAGGGAGACTCAGGCGCGTGTATTTGTATACAAATGCACACACATACCTCACGTCTCATAACACATGTACAGACACGACGCAGTCAGCCCGACAGAGAGCCACATATCGATCCCATATGTCATCATGATGGATTAGCCGACAGACTGACGGGTCAACCGACCAGCTCGGGCCTTGGTTGACGTGAAGGGCGATGTCGGCGCCTGCGCTCAGGCGTGCTTGAAATTCCATTTTGTCAGGCTGTTCTTGCTCAAGTGACAGACCGAGTCACATCCGATGATCACTTGTGTATATGTATGGGATGAATCTGTGCAGACATACATATACAATGAATGTCTCTCCACCGTCAGCCCACTAGGCACGCACGCAGACACCTAGAGGGGAAATTATCACAGGGTGTGCCAACGGCCAAAGCAAAAAGGGCGGCCAACAAAGACACACATACAGTCAATCAAAGCGACCCCTCATCAAGCACACGGTCGATTGGAGAGAGAGGATGACAAGTGTGTCTATGCGTGGAGACTCCTGCGTGGTGTGAGCAGTGATTGAGCGTGCGTTGCTCGCTGGTCGTTGCCTTGGATTGATTTCAAGTAATCAGCCGAGTTGCTTGCGATCTTGAAATGTTCACATATGTCTCGGGCAGACAGGACGGTCCGAGATAGATATTCATGATATGCATGTACAAATCAAGATACACACACACAGCAGACCCCACCCACGCACAAACACAGAGAGACAGACAGAGACAGACAGAGACAGACAGACAGAGAGACAGCTGGTTGGTCACGCACAAACACTGGTTCGCCGCTGGCTGCCTGAATGTCTGAATGGCTGGACAAATACATACGACTCATGTACACACACATCTATGTACGAGACGTTTGTATGCTCAGACACTACACACACACGATAGGATACATACACACCAAGACGTACACACATTACACCCGGAGCCGCAAATTACACCAAGCGTACAGGAAGAAACACATCAAAATTGAATTCCGCTGACTGGAAGACATGAAGCTTGCTTTCCTTCCCATCACCCTGTTGGCGGCCTCATCGGCCTATGCTTCATTCGCCCCCTCACCCACGCACAAACACAGAAAGAGCCACCAACCCACCAATCAGTCAAGTCAGTTGTCTCCAGTATCCTGTTTCATGACGTAGCACCTGGACAGCCACACCTTGCTGACCTCCTTGATGCGCTCGTGGTAGAGGTGGCAGTGGCCATTGGGGTTGTTGATCTCCCACTCAAACGCCGAACAACCCTTGTTGTGCTCCGACAACCCACCCGCCACAAACTGCTTCTGCCGCTCCACACATAGAGACGCGCAGTCGGCTGCTGACACGGTCCGGCGCTTCGTCACGATCGCACGGCCGCTCTTCGTGCCCGTCACACACTTGCCGCGGCCCAGCAACTCAAACCGACCGTGTACGAAACCAGCTGCACACATGGAGACACACGTTACACACACGCTCCCCCTCTCTGTGTGTGTGTGCGTACTTGTCTTGCAGGGCGCGTTGGTCTTTCCCGGCTTGCACTCGGGTGCCGAAGCGAATATCTCGTTCTCGCAACACTGCTTAGCGCCGCCCGGCTTGCTGCCGCACTTTGCGCCTCCGCATTGGCCGCCGCACATGGACTCGCTGCAGCATGCACCACTGGCGGCCGCCAAGACACCCGCCGAGTTGGCGCATTCCAGCTGGTCAGGCAAGAGGCCCACACCTGATTGATACACAGACATACGGACAGTGCACACGGGCGTGTCCATGTCTGATTACTTGTCTTTCGGTAGCATCTGTGCCTTGCGTCTCCGTTGGACTTGGTGGGATGTCCAAACAGCATGTGGCACTGCTTGTGTGTGTGGATATCGGGGCTGTATGAGAAGTCGAAGGCCAGGCAGCCCTCCGTGTCGTCGCACGCCTCACCACACCGCTCCAAAGACGACGCACCGATCGCTCGCCTGTTCTTGGCCGCAGCAGGCCTCGCGAAGTCGCATTGCCCGATGCCGGCCAGCTCGTAGTTGTTCTTGTCATCGGTGTCGAGCCGGGAATCTGCACGAGAAACACCGACACACGTACACTGATGTGTGACGGGGAAGGTGTGCGCAATGTGCGCTCACCGGCATTGCACGGCGCCTGTTTGTCTCGGTGGCACATTTTGCCCGACTTGGCCGCGTGGGCGCTGTTGCACCTCTGGTCAGGATTGTCGCTGCTGCACGTGGCGCAATCCCCGGGACAGCACCCACCGTCACCGCTGGTGCTGGCCCGCCCCCTGATGGCCGAGCACTGCATCACGTGGTCCTTCTGGAAACACCGCTCACCCACCTCCCTCTTGACCTTAAAGGCAGGCGCCGTCTGGTTGACATTGACGAACAGCCGGCAGTTCTGGGGGTTGGTCAGGGTGATGTCGAACCCCTGACAAGTCGGCTCGGCCAGACACTTGCCGCTGCACTCTTCCATGGACTTGACGTGCGATGAGCTGGGGAGGGCCGATTTGTCTTGTGAGTCGGTGCACACGCCCTCGCCGAGGAGGGAGAAGCCGTCGGGGCGGCAGAGGCTCGTCTCCAGGTGGGGCAGTTGGCCGATCCGCCCCTTCTGCCCATACCGCATGCCGTACCCCACGTGGAAGCCCGTTTGGCCGTTTCGCACCTCGGTGAGCCGCTGACACGCACTCAGTGGCCAGGCGATGGGCAGGGTGCCGTGAAAATCATGCTCGCCAAAGAGCACGTCGGCGATAGCCCCGCCCTGCGGCCCCGGCAGCCATGCCACGACGAATGCGTCAGACAGGTTGATCTCTCTTGTGGTGTCGAGTGGCCGGCCGGTGAGGGCGATGATTGTGAGGGAGAAGGCCTCGTTGGCTGGCATTTTGCTGCGGATCGTGTGGAGCTTGTCGAGGATGGCGCGGTCGGTCCCGGCCCTCTGCATCCCGTCGCGCACAAGCCTCACTGGTGCGGGGTAGAGGATGTCGCTGAGAGAGAGGCAAGGAAAGGAAGAAGGAATGGGCAATTCATGGGCGTGTTGGCGGCTGGCTGCCTGCCTCACCCAAAGTACTCGGCGTATGCTGCAGCAGCAGCAGCAGGAGAATCACAGGGGGGAAATACGCAATCGGTTGTTTGGTTGTTTTGAATCAGGCTTACTTTCCTCGGCAAGGCACATGATGGCGGCATCGAAAGGGCCCTGCTCATTAAAGGCCTTGGTGACGTCTGCCGACGTGCCGGCGAAAATCGCCTTGCCGCCTCTCTTAGACACAATACCTTTCACACCTGCGCACACAGACAAGTGAGCAGTATGAACGGTCGCTGCCCTTGTGTCACCGCCCACCCACCCCCCCACCGACCGCCAAAAATGGTGTGTGCCTTGCTGCCGAAGCCCTCGTTGCCGATGCCTCTGGGCCCCTGCCACTTGACCGTCCACCCTCCACTCTGGTGCTCTATCGAGTCGCACCCGTGGCCGGCCACCAACACCCGGCTGTCATTCCGCAGCGGCAGGGCAGACCCACCAGCGCCCCCACGCTCGTTCTTCAGCAGCACCAGCGACTTGCGCACGGCCTCGCGAGCCACGTTGCGATGAGCGGGGCCGCCCATATTCTCGCCAAGAGCCCGCACACGCGGTGGTGGGCGGACGGGCAGCTTGATGGGTGCATCTTCGGGCAGGAAGATGAGGCCCAGGAGCGACTTGACGCGGAGGATGCGCTTGACGGCGTCGTGTATGCGTTGCTTTGGAATTTCTCCCCTCTTGATGGCCTGGAGTGTGTTGGTGTGGAAGTTCCTCCAGATGCCCCTGTCTGGTGCCATGAACATGTCGACGCCCGCGTTGACGGCGGCGTTGCAGTGGGTCAGCTCACACGACTCTATGGACTCCCAGCCGTACCTGCATGGACGGACAACAGACACACTAGACCTCTGTGTGTGTGTTTGGGAGGAGGAATCCGTCCTAGCCGACCAGTCAGTAACGACGAGCCCCATGAAGTTCATTTGTGTCTTGAGGACGTCGGTGACCAGGTACTTGTGGCTCGTCAGGTGGTGTGACATCCACTCGTTGAACCCCACCATCACCGATAACGCACCCGCATTCAACGCGCCGTAGAAACCTGCACGAAGACACAACAGACACACGACACAATCACAGTCCGTTCTGTTGACAGCCATCCAGCCAGCCAGCCAGGGGCCAATGCATACACACATACCTCTAGCATGGACGTCGTGCAGCCGTTGTTCTGCAGCAACCATCACACCCGGCTCGCTCCCATGTGGACGTGACAACAGCACTTCCCTCTCTTCTTCTTTTCCATTCACGTACCCGATATTAGTGCGTTTCCCTGGTCCTCGCCTCTGTCGGTCTCCCCTTCACCGATCCAGTGTTTGGCCGTGGCCAGAATCCGCCCACCGCTCCCGTTAAGGAAGGCGTCAGGCACCAGAGGAGACCCCTGCACCCCCTTGATGAACGCCTGGCTGTGGTTGGCCACACGATTGGGGTCCTGACCGAAGGTCTCGTACACACGGCCCTGGATGGACGACACGCATGCGCACGGAGGCAACGAGCGATGAGGGCGGCTCTGTCCGTGGCTGTGTAGATGAAGTGGGACGTACCCATCTGTTTGCTTCGTCCTGTGTGACGGCGAGCATGGGAGCAAACACCCAGTCGATGCCCGTGCGGGACATCTCCTGACCTGAACGCACAACAAATCGTCCACAGACAACCACAGTCTCTTGTTGGCATCGATGGTTCTTTTCTTTCACTCACCGGTGATCCTCCCCACTGTCTCGGTGAGTTTGGGGTCGTTTGCAGCCGACATGCCGATCATGTGTGGGAAGATGGTGGCAGTGGAGATGATGGCGTGCCCGTGGTTGCCGTCGATCGCCCAAGGCGCCCCAATCTTGATGGTCATCCTCCTGTCGCCCACCTTGACGTTGGCCACACTAAGCCTCGCCTCCCTGTAGAAGCGGTCCGCCACCTTCCGCCATGTCTTAGGCTCGTTGGTCACCCCAATCTCGTTGCCGGCGGTGTGCAAGAGGGCCCCCAGGCCCTTCTCGCGTACGTCGCTAGGTGTGCTCTCTGAGCCGATCTGTGCCATGATCATCTGGCCGACTTGCTTGTCGATGGGCATGGCTTCGACAATGGCGTCGAGCAGGGAGTCAATGCCAGCCGCGCTGTCGCCGCGGAGGGACCCTGTGCGCTTCATGGGAAGCTTGAGCAGCTCCCCCGTCACCTTGGGGCTCAGAGGGGCCCAGTGAACTGACACACAAAGAAAGCAGACAGAGTGTGCAAAGGTGCCGTGACGGGTCGATAGTCTGACTGACCTCTGTTTTCCTGCAGGCTGTCCGCCATGGGATCGCTGGAGTTGCCTGGCACACACACACACCCCTCCGCACACACTCACGGGCGCTGCGGTGCGTATTGCACTGCTTTCTGCGTCCTCCCACCTTCTGCTGTTGCGGTGTTGCTGTCGGGTATGTACACAGCCGTCAAGAGAAGTACACATACAAAAGTATAAAGCCTACTTACTCTTCCCGTATACAAGCATTTCAGGCAGCCTGTGGCCATCTCACTGACAGGCACAAACAGCGACGAAAAAACGCCCCTCAGTCACACGACCAACGAGGGGTGCGGGCGACGAACAGAGCATCCAGGGGTGGTGCTGAAACGTGGCCTTCAAAAAGAAAAAAGGCCCGGCACCACTCCCTCTATTGTTATTTCAACCGCAAAAAACGAACGGGAGGGAAGGAGGAAAGATTACCCGCTCTGTCAAATATGGCGCCTCGCATCCCTGCGGCATGTGATCATCATGGCGGTGGCTTCTCTGACGACAACGTGGCTCCCTCGCTTGCCCAGTTCGTGCCTGGATCTCCCTATGAGGCGTTCGTGCCGGGCACACAGCAGGCCAACACCACCGCCTCGCTTCAATACGTGAGCCAACACAACAACAGTCACGCGACAAGACACTCGCCATACCTTGCTGGGTTGTGTGGCCAGTCATTGCGGTATTTGCTACGACTGGCGGTCATGTTGATGGCGCATCTGCTGTTTGTCACGATCCATGTCGTCATGTGGCTCTGTGGCGTCAACCTCCAGACCTTCGGCTTCACTATGGCTGACGGGACCATCACTGCTCTGGCGCTACGACTGGTGTGCACGCGGCTCTTTTTCTCTTACCCCTGGACGCTGCTCGCCGACTGGTGGCTCTTGAGCATCTGTGGGGCACGCGCGCCACGATGGCGGAATGCCGTCGACACGGTTGCGTTTGTGTCTGTGGCGGCTTTTCTGGAGTTCCGACACTGGGGATATCTGGTGTACTTCTTTGTACTGCAGTCCTGGGTCGGCTTTGCTGCCTCGATGCTGTCGAAGCACGCCAACGGAGACCGCGCAATCACTCTGAGAGTGCTGGCTTTCTTCCTATGGTATCCCTGCAGTCCGTTGCTGCTGCTGCTCACCGATGGGTCTGCGTGGATGGGCGTGCTGTATATCGCCGCGTGCCTCTCCTGGTTCACCTTTTACGTCGTCGCGGGCACACGGCAGCTGTACGAGGGGAGTCAGGAGATCAAGGCCATCAGCACCTTCAAGCTGGTCATGATTTTCCTGCCCGCCATGCTGGTGCTATCGGAAAGTCTGCTGCTCCACAACCGCATGGGCATACTCGACACACTGTTCTGTGCCAATACCAAGGGCGAAATGTCCGTGAGATGCCTTGCCGGCCAATTCGCTCCACGTGTGCCAGGTGTCGTGGTGTGTGTTTGTTGCTCAGATTTGACGCGGACCTGCAAGCCACCGCAGCCGAGCTATAACGAGAGGAGAAGGGATATACGTGCTGCCAGATGGCGAGCGAGCGGGCGAGAGGGCGGAGGGGCTGTGCCCCTGGCAGGAGGACAGGCGCTTGCAATGCGATGTTGGCCTAAGTGGTGACATAGCGGTGTGCGTCCGTAGCTGCTACCGTATGAGTACTTACTTCTTTGTGTGTCTGCTCGCCATCCGTGGTGTTGGCATCTCTGTGTGTACATAATCGTATCAATCTTACAAACGTTCGTGCGTGCATGAGTGGGCGGGGGATGAACGGGACGGACAGCACATGGTGAAATGAATCGATTCACACGGGCTGGCCGATTTGCTTGCATGGGAGTAAAGACAGACAGGTGGGTTTCGACACCTGGTGGGTATTCACATGTAGAGCTCCGAAAAAACCACTGAATGAATCAATCGAATCCAGCATCTTGCTTGACTATGAATAGATCTCCGCTCCCGCACGTCGTCATCTATGGGCGCCATCTCGTCCCGGATCCGTTTGTGAGGCTGAGGGCAACCCTAAACCCTTGCTTCCTTTTAGGTTTTCTTCCCTTTTCTCTCCATCGGCTTACAAACAACCCAGTTTGGACGATCTGGTTGGCACTGAACACAGATCTGGACTAGAAAACTCGAGATCTGTGCTCGGTGTGTGCATGCAGCTGCTGTGAAAAAGACGGCGTGTCAGGCCTTCTGAAGTCTCGCCAGTAAGGGGAGAGCACTGTACTGAGGGCGGCGTCATGGGCGAGAGGACGAGAGACTTCTTCCGGGGCCAATCTCTTCTGCTTCTTGGCGTGACAGGCACTGTGGGACAGGTGCGGGAGTGAAGGCACGCGGCACGTACACGCACTGCATCCATCTATCTGAGCATTTGTCAGATCTGTGATGGTGCGTTGATCTGTGTACAGGTGGTACTGGAGCATCTGCTGCGGTGTGCGCCGCTTCAGCGGTTGTATCTGCTGACCCGCTCCACCCCGAAGGCTTCCAGCACCCAGCGCATCATCGACTTGCTTCAGCAGCCCCTCTTCGCGGCCGTTCACAAAGTGCTGCGTGACGAGGAGGGCGAGGCACACAGCGACGATAGCACGGCCAGTGATGATGATGGTAGTGGTGACGGTGGCGGCTGTCGATCTCCCCAATCGTCGACGCAGTCCGACGAGGAGGTTCTGCTGAATGGATTTGGGATTCACGTCATCGAAGGAGACCTGCAAAAGGTGTGCATACGACATGCGACCTGGGCTGCCCCGTTGGCTGTCCGTGTGTGCATCTCCGTGTGCGTGTTTGTCGTGTGTGTGTATCGTCAGGAGTACCTGGGTCTGTCTGAGAGGGACCTTGAGACACTCAAGGCCAATGTCACAGGTACGGTACCTTGACCGGATTGATCACATCAGGAGCATTGTGTCTGATCCATCCGTCCATCAGTGGTGGTGAATTGCGCAGCGAGCATCAATTTTGACGATCCCTTCCCGCAGCTCTTCGACCAGAACGTCGTCGGAGCCCTGCGCGTGATACAACTGGTCAGCTATTGATTGCTGTTCGTGCATTTTACGTACCTGTGTGTCAAACAGGCCATGTCGTGTGAGGGCGTCCGGTCGTCCGGATGTTTTGTCCACGTGTCCACTGCATACGCCAACTCAAACAGAAGGCAAGCAAACAGTTCCTGAATGAGGCAAACACAGGCACACACCGCTGACGTTATGTATCGATCAGCGGTGTGATTGAGGAGAAGCTCTACGAGTCAGACATCGATCACGAGGTGGGCAGGCCACACAGCCAAGCCTGACGCGGACATCCTGACTGACGCGCTATCTGCCGGTGAGTTTGTCTGTCTGTTTGTCTGTGTGCAGCATGAGTTCAGTGAGCTGGGCCGCACGACCGGCGAGGAGCATGAACGGCTGGCAGAACAGCTCAGAGGTGGGCCGGGGCGGGGTGGATGGGTTGGTTGGTGGCGTAACCAACATTCCATGGCATCTCCATCATGTGTGTAGTGCGTTACGGTCACCCGAACCACTACACCTTCACCAAGTGCCTGTGTGAGCATCTGATCGACTCGCGGCGCGGCGACATGCCTACCCTCATCGTCCGCCCCTCCATCATCGGTTCCACATACAAGACGCCATTCAAAGGATGGACGAACGCTCCCCAGGGTTTTGGTACATTGGTCGCCTTCAGAGCGTTCGGCGCCTCCCTCCGGCTGCCCAGCGACGGCATGGCCATCGGTAGGCTAGTCTTGTGGTCTGCGCGTTCATCCATCCTCTGTTGTGCCTGCATGCGTTTGTGTAGGTGATGTGATCCCGTCGGATTACGTGTCATCGGCGATCATCAAGGGCGCTGTGGCAACGGCAGGTGCATACGTGCAGACTGCATAGTATTTGTGTCCTATCCATCCCTCCATTGCATGCAGGTCGTGTTGGTCATTTGGAGGTGATGCATGTGTCGTCGTCGCATACCAATCCCATCACATGGTCAGCAGCCAGCCTCACGACACAGGTGCTTCCGTCCGTCCGCATGCGTGTTGTGTATGTCTCCCTGTGTGCAGGAATGAGTTGGGCCGCCATGCTGTGAAGGCCTTCACACAGCAAAACTCCCAAAGCAAAATCCCAAAGAAATACATGATCGGTACCCCTGCCCTCCCTCAACCAACAAAGAGAGGCAGGCAGTCTCTTTCGTCTTGCGCCCGCCAGGTCCGCGGTTTGTGGTCAAGTGGTGTTCATCTTCGCGGAAATACGCCGTCATGCACGTACAGAAGACGAAACATCACCCATCGAGTCGATGGCGCGTCATTCTGCCTTACCATGATCAGGCGATGGACGATGCGGCCGTTGTAGCCGGCCAGTCAGTTGCGGCACGGCTGAGTGATGTCTTGCCGTCACAAGGGAGACAACTGTCCAAGTTGGTCAAATTTCTGCGGCGTCGACAGAAAGCGCTCAAGCTGCTGCACCCCTTCATCTGCAACCAGTGGACTTTCAAAACCGACAAGGCACGCGACCACGGCACAGACAGACAGACACTGATGGTTTGGATCAAGCTTTCCTGATGTACAGATAAGTCAGCTTGCCCGCGAGGATGATGAGCCAGATTTTCCCCTCGACGTGGAGAACATCGACTGGTATGTACTAGGCCGCATACGCACCGACCCATTGCGATGTATGGGTCTCTCTCTCTCTGTCTGTCAGGGAGCTTTGGTGCAAAGACTACCTGGAAGGTCTGTGCCGCTACTCCCTCATCCCGACCCTGGAGCGCATGAGCGCACGCGACAAAGACCCGCCCGCACCCAAGCAGCCACTCAAGCCCTCCACCTTCGACACCATGTCACCGTCGAGAATGAGCACTGCCAGCACGTCCCGTACACGTGTCGATGGTGCGGGACTGAGGAGTCGATGGATAGTTTGTGGTCGGATGTGAGCGACGACATTCGGCCAGCCTCGACAGGGCGCAGATGGAAGGATGGGGTGTAGCTTCGAGGTCTCTGCGCCTTGCTTTATGTTCGGCCATCTCGGTACATGTTGTCTGTGTGGCGGTGCGGTATGGGTGTCTGTTGGATCGTGAACGGGTGTATTCCTGTGGTTGCGTGAGGGCGTCTGAGGCAAGATGGCTCGCTTGCGCTGGCTTGATGTGTGGACGCCTGTTTGTTTTCTGCATGGGGAACCGCCATATTTCAAGTGTGCTGCGCCTCCGCCTGTCTGTCCGTCTGTCTGTCTGTCTGCCTGTCTGTCTGTCTGTCTGTCTTTCTGTCTGTCTGTCTGTTTGTCGTCTGTCTGTCTTCCCTCACCGTGCTGGTCGTATGCTTACCACCTTAGTCACCGTGCTGGTGTAAGTAAATCGGCGGCCCCTGACTGACTGACTGATTGACTGACTGACTGGCTTCTCGTGTCGTATGTGTTGGGCATGCTGTGGTGGCCACAGGACAGCAGTTCGCCTCAATCATTTAGGCGGAGGCTATGCCTGCGTACG